AAACAGGGCGCCTGGGCAGTTATCTGTGGAAGCAATAAGAGCGGAAAAACGTTGCCGCTTTGCTGCTTTTATCGCCACTAAGTAGGATTTAATATAAATTCTTACTAGTGTTCGATCAAATTCGGACCGGCTGGCCCTCCAACCACTCTCTAGGCATCTTTTCTGGCGTTTCATCTCCTGGAGCTCCTCAGTAAACCAGGGAGCTACCTGGGATCGACACCAGGTCAGAGGCTGCAAAGGCACAACACGATCCAAAGCCTCAGTGGCCGCCCTATCCCAGGCTTCCACTAGGGCTGCGGTCGAGTTGTGAGCAAGAGATTCAAGCTCCATCAGGAACTTTCAGAGTCCATCAGGCGCCTGGGGCGGAACCATCTATTTGGTTCCACCTCCCTGCGGTGAAGGATATCCGTATGGAAGTCAAGCCTGATGAGGAAATGATCCAACCATGACAAGGGTTGGATAGAAATATCCCCTAAATCTAGATCATTTATCCACTGCCCAGAGACAAAATTCAGGTCGAGCGTGTGTCCCCAATTATGGGTGGGGTCTTGAATTAACTGAGTTAGGTCCATAGCTGTCATGGAAGCTATGAACTCCCGAGCTGACTCGGATGTCTCTCCAATGGAAGGCAGATTGAAATCCCCCAGGATCATAAGCCTGGGGAAATCAACCGCCAATCCAGCTAACATATTCAGCAGTTCCGGCAGGGCCGATGAAACATAGCAGGGAGACAGGTAAGTAACAAAAATGCCCACCTGAACTCCAAGGCCCCATATGCATGACAATAGAGTCACCTACCATACGTCAATTGGCCAAGTCCGCACCAGGCAGCCAAAAAAGCTGAAGGTCACAGTCCTCATCGAGGACTCTCCATGTGAGATGGAGATCGACACCGCCTCATTGCTGACCATCATGCCATGGTCTACCCTTAAGCAGGCTATCTCTAACCTACAGAAGCAGCTTCTACACACCTCTGACATCCGCCTAGGCGATTACCAGGGGAACAGGGTCCCCATCGTGGGCCAAGGCACCTTCCAGGTGAAATTCAAGCAGTTCAGCAGGAAACTTCCAGTGACAGTGATCAGTGGCAACCTGCAGAGCCTCCTAAGGCTAGATTGGTTCCAAACCCTGGGCCTAGAAGTCACCAGTATCAACGCCTTGAAAGATGACAGCGCTGAGGCCATCTTTAAGAAGTTCAATGACGTCTTCGGCACCGGTCTGGGTAAGTATGTGGGGATTCCAATTTCCTTTAGTTTGGACTCCAACATAGCCCCAATTAGGCTAAACCCCAGGAGAGTACCTTTTGCGCTACAACAAAGCATCTACTCTGTACCCATTGTATAGCACCTACTTCATTCACTAGGCCCAAGAAAAATCTTCGCAAAATTGGACATGGAGCAGGCATACCAACAATTGCCTGTAGATGGCGCTACGGCGGAGGCCCAAACCATTTTGACGCACAGATGTGCATTCAAATTCCACCGCCTGCAATTCGGTATTAGTATCACCCCTGGACTGTTCCAAAGCATCATGGAATGGCTTTTGCAGGGGATTCCAGGAGTCGTCCCCTATTTCAATGACATCTTGGTATCAGCTGCAAACAAGGCACAACTTTTAAAACACGTACGAACAGTTTTGGCTCGAATTAGAGACAAAGGCCTCCTTCTCAAAAAAAGAGAAATGCCAAATTAATGTGCCAAGGGTTGAATTCCTAGGGTACCTGATCGACGATTCTGGGATTCACCCGACTACACAAAAAATTAAAGCTATCCAGGACGCCAACACACCTCGCAATCAAACCAAGCTGCAGGCATTCCTTGGGCTCCTTAATTTCTACAGCGTCTTTCTCAAACAGAAAGCCACCAATGCTGAGCTCTTACACCGTCTCCTGGCCAAGAACCCGAAGTGGTCCTGGGGCAGAGCTGAGGCTGCCACATTTGCTGCAGTAAAACGACTCCTGTTGGCGAACTCCTTTCTAGTCCAATACAGCCAGACTCTGCCGTTGGTGCTGACCTGCGATGCTCCCCCCCTTCGGTGTCTCTGCTGTCCTCAACCACCGCATGCCCAATGGAACCAAAGCTCCTATTGCATTTTACTCCAGGACCTTGTCCGCTGCTGAGCGGAACTACAGCCAGTTGGACCGTGAGGCTTTGGCTGCAGTGGCTGAAGTAAAGAGGTTCCACAAGTATCTATATGGCCGGGTCTTCAAACTGGTTACGGACCACAAGCTTACTGACTGGGGACCGACCTATCCCACTGTCACTTTCTCCACGGATGACCCGGTGGACCATCTTCCTAGCTGCCTACTCCTACCACCTCATCCACCGACCAGGCTCCACTTTGGAGGACGCTGATGCGTTGAGCTGCTGCCCGCTGCCTGAACTTCTTGCTGACCCTACCCCCGAGATGCCAGTCCTCCTCATTGACTGCCTTGAGACTGAGCCTGTCTCATCCAGTGATGTTGCCCATCACTCTGCCAAGGATTCCACCACCAAGCAAATTTTAAACTGGGTATGGAGGGGGTGGCCAAGGCAGCCTGTTGGGGTTGATTTTATAATGTATTTTGTCAAATGTGATGAATTATCGGTTGTTAATGGCTGTTTACTGTGTGTGTGTGGGGGGGTAGTTGTTCCACCCAAACTGCTCAATGCAGTATTAGTGGCTTTACATGTAGAACATCCTGGAATTGTCAGGATGAAGTCTTTGGCTAGGAGTTACATGTGGTGGCCTAACATGGACAGAGAGATCGAAGAGTGGGTGGCTACCTGCACACCATGCCAGGAGTCCAGACCAGCTCCCCCAGAGGCGCCGGCTAAGGAGTAGGAGCGACCTCAAGCACCATAGTCTAGGATGCATATTGACTTTGCTGGCCCAGTTCATGGCCAGACATTTCTAGCAGTTGTGGACGCCTACTCGAAATGGTTAGAGGTAGTCCTGATGACCTCCACTATAGCAGAAGCGGTCATCAAGGTGCTACAGACTTTTCCCCATGCACGGCCTGCCCGACATCTTGGTCTCAGACAACGGGCCCCAATTCATGGCCATGCAATTTGAGACATTCTTAACAGCTCAGGGAATCAGGCATGCCCTGATCGCGCCATTCCATCCGGCCTCCAATGGCCAGGCAGAGAGAATGGTGAGACCTCCAAATGGCCAGGCAGAGAGAATGGTGAGATCTCTAGGATGGGCCTGGGAGATTGTCAAATATGTGGGCCTGGGAGATTGTCAAATATGTGTTGATCACTATTTGCTAATTCAACACATTACACCCAGTGCCACTACAGGGAGAAGCCCCTCCAAGCTTCTCATGGGTCGCCGGCTAAGGTCCCACTTAGACCGGCTACACCCCAATTATTCTGCCTCATCGTCCCAGACTCCATAAGCAAGATTTGGACATTTAGCGTAGGGGATTTGGTATATGCCCACAACTATGCTGGGGGAACTCTGTGGATTCCTGCCACAGTGATAGGCATCACCGGCCCTTGCTCTTAGCTCTTAGAGCTTGAGGACTGTAGGATTTGGAGAACGCATATTGACCAACTCCGTGGCCGCCTCTCCAACTCCACTCTTAGACAACCAGAGGTAACTCCTGCACGAGTTAGCCAAAGCCCTACCCAAACGAAGCAAACACTCACTCCTTCCATGGCCAGCTCAAACCTGAGGGTACCGGAAAACCTATCTGGTTATGTTGCAGGCACGCAGCAAGCTCCGTGCGAACCGGCTCTAGAAGCTCCAGCTGCGGCCTGTGAAAGGTTCCAGGAGCTTTCAGCAAGCGGAGCTGCGGAGCAAACAGGTCTGTCCAACCTCTCCAAGGAAACCCCTCCTACTGAACTGCACAGGTCAGGCAGAGCTACCCAAAAGCCCGCCTACTTGCATGACTATATTACAAGTAGGATTGTTCCAACCAAGAGGGGAGGGGTGTTAGATATCAGTTCTAACTACAGTTGTTTCCACCAAGGTCCTCTGTTCTCGCGGGAACAGAAGGGCCTGACAGCTCCCTATAAAAGGGCTGTTGTCTGACTCAACCTTCGCTGGATTGTTCTCACTTATTGTACTCAATAAAGAGCTGTTGTTACTATTAAGCCTGTGTGTGCTTATCCATTACACAATCTAACACTACAACATGAGCATGGTTATGGCCTGGTCATGTCTAGACCCACTTGTCTCATTTGCTGCATGAGTGACAGATTGGGAGCTTCATTGTCATTGATTGGTTCCTCAATAGTAAATGAAAACTATTCATCTTGACATCACTGTTGAGACCTCCTCTTCCTTATACACTTTTAAAAAGAAGCTCTACCCTCAGACCTTTTCATCTAGTTTTTGGAAAATATTTCTGCTTTGGTTTTTTTGTTTTTTGTTTTTTATTTTTGCTATTTTGAAGCGGAAAAGTTGTTTTGTTTTTAAAGCTCATCTGGCTTACGAGAACCATATCCCAATCCTCATTTGGATATGGGAAACCTCCAGTGGTTCCCTCAACTAAAATTTTCCTCAGCAACATGAGCTGTGTTTCCACGTCTTTCAATAGCTCCTAGAACCATGATGCCAAACCTATAGCACGCATGCCAGAGGTGGCACACAGAGCCCTCTCTGCTGGCACGTGCACTGTAGCCCCAGATCAGATCTCTGTGGCATTTCTTTCCTGAACTTCTGTTTCCCTGCAAACAATAAAACAGAAGCTCACGAAAGAAAAAGATCTCACCACTTGCTGCGCTGCTGGGTTGGGATTCCCTGCCTCCCATTAGCCAGCTGGTCTTTGGGTCTCTTGATGCACATCCATGCATCCATGCATGTGCATGCACCTATGAACATACACGTGCACATTCATGCATGCCTGTGCATGCATGTCTGCGTGTCCAAGTTCACATGTGCACACAAATTTCAGTTTGGACATGTGCGCGCACAGAATTTGGGCACTTGGTGTCTAAAAGGTTTGCCATCACTATCCTAGAATATCACAAATGGAGAAAAATATATGCTTACCTGTTCCCATGCAAAGATATTTTGATTGAAGTAAAACTGAATCTGCTCATTGGCAATATTGATACAGAGCTGCTCAAAAGAATTTTTTTTGAAGTTTTCAAAACCGAAGATATCAAGAATTCCAATGTTTAGTCCTTTATCACTTCCACTGAAAATACAAAAGCTTTGTATTACATTTGAGTCTCATTCAGTTATTCCATTTCAACTTCACAGAAAGATGTTCAAAATACTTAGGAATTATGCTAGGCAGAAACTGGCAGAGTCTAATGTCCAGTTCTGGAACAGCTGTTTATCAAATGCTAAATATCCCAACTACAAGAATTAATTTCTGAAAACAAAGGGGCTACAGAAACAATAGTTCTGTTCTCATTGCTCTTGGACAAAGCACATATGACACACAAGTATTTGTATATCATGAGAAAAAGTTGTACTGTTTTCAATTTTTGTTTGGGGTTTTATTTATTTAAACAAAATAAATAGAAAAGAAGAAAAGAAGGAAAATAAAAAAAAATATTAAGAATATGCCTATACTTAATATTTTTATATAAATATACTGAAACTTTTGAAAGGCTCTGAAAGGAAGATGACTATGCCTGTCCCTTTTATCAGACAGAAGACATCCCATACTGTTTTTCAATTCATAAAGTCATCTCAACTCACAGAGGGGTGGAGGGAATCTTACCTTAAAGCAGTAGTTGGTTTGAGCAGGACATTAATATGATTGACTATCCAACTAAAGAGCCACCCATACAACGCTTTGGCTGTAGCATCTCTCACATCAATAGCTTTTTCCATTGTGTTAGGTCGTATAATTTTTTCCCCTCGAGTAACCACACAATGAGAGGTTAGGGCTTCTTGCAACTTGTTTGCTTGGATAAATAACAAGGAAGCAGCTAGAAATCAAGTAAATGGTGTTACTTCCATATTTCCATAGATGTGTTCAGACAGTTCAGGTCAATTACTTAGTTTTGTATAAGTACCTCTCTTAAAGCATTCTTCATTAATCTTAGGGTCTAAACATTACTTGTGCTCCCTATTCTTATTCAATATTATACGGGAGTTTTTCAAATGGAAGGAAGAATATTGCCCCACAGAAAGTACAAAGAGATATGAATCAATAATAAACAGAATAAAATTACCCAAAATGTTAACAACAAATTTAGTTCCCTGGAATTCTATTTTTTATATAGCCAAAAGGCACTTGCCATCCTTCATGAGAAAGGTCTCAGCAAGACACTCAGCAGAAATAGAAAAACATTTTAACCGAATGAGGACTGAGTATGTCCTTCTTGCCATAATCTTTCTTCTCCTTTTGGCTTGTCTTCCCTTATTTTTAACACTTCTTTTTCCCTAAGCAGAAAACTGCAATGAAAGAATTACACTACTTATTAAAATGTCTGGACTAATTGCCTGCTAGTTTCAGCCCTGCCTGGATACATCAAATCTTGTATGGTTTCACAATGCAATGCCATGCAAGCTTTTCGCTAGAATTTGAAGCTTTCTCTTAAGTATACATGAGACGGTAGACTTTTCCCTTTTTTTTCCTAAATGGCTACACTAATGTTATTAGATATAATATCTCAACAGAAAACATTGAGGTTGAATGTCATCAGGGGAAATCTCATTACACTTGTAGGCATCCACAAGGTTATTGTGGCCAAACCAGGCTCACATTTGTTGACAAGGTGAATAAGGTTGGATTTAGGTCTCGAAGAATTTTATCAATAGCATTCTGCCATGTTCATATTGCTTCAGATTTCATAATGAACAAGACAGTTGAATAAGGATGTAATAATCCTATATGTCACATGTAAGAAATTGGCATTCTCTAAATGCTTTTGCTTTAAACGCTGTAATCTTTGAACACTGAACATTTTGGCGAAGATCGTAAGAGTTAAAGATGAAAATATTTGGAGGCTCCAAATTACCCGTGCTTGATATGCAGACTTGAAAACAAGCCCTACTGAACTCCAAGAAACACACTGCCAATCTATTTTAAAAATAAGAATAACTCACAATTCTCCAGTGGCATTGGATTGGAAATTATGCTCTTGTCAATCATGTACTCGGTTACCTCTGATGAAAATTCAATGTTACCCACATTTAAAATGGCAGCAAGTACACAGTATACACACTCTAGTTCCTGAAAAATAAGTGTACAAAAGCATTCAATTCAGTCTTAAAACAGGCAGAACAGGGAACAGTCAGTTAATATTGATTTTTCGCTTAATGAAAAATCAGCATTCTCTAATAACTGCATCCCTTTCACTTCACCTTAATCTTAACCACAACCTCAACTCTCAACCCTAAACCTTAACCTTACCTCACCTTCAATTTTCACTTTCACCTTAATCTTAACCACAACCTCAACTCTCAACCCTAAACCTTAACCTTACCTCACCTTCAATTTTCACTTTCACCTTAATCTTAACCACAAGGATGTCATTGGACCATTAAAAATGTAAGGTTATATAGGTAAACCTTCAGAGTTAAACATATTAGGATGGCTTTTTGACAGATCTCTCTTCGTCCTCCCTGTATGTTGGACTGAAAATTCCCACCCTGGCTTCTTTTGGCTATTTTGAACTACAATGTAATTCTGAACCTCGCCATCACTCATGCTTATAATACACCACATTTAGTTGATTCATCTGAAATAAACCCACAGAAGAAAATTGACTTCAGTCTCTCTCTCCCTCTCTTATTCTGTAATTGGATTTTTGTTTACTGAAAGCTAGGTCTTGATGCTGCAACTGTAAATGACAAGTAGAGGAGAAAGTTATTTGTTTTTTTTAAATTACATGTAAATCTTAATCTAGCCCAAGTTTGCATCCTGCACAACTTCTAAGCATAATAGTGTGTTTGGTTATACCTTACCATGGGAACCCAACGTATAATGTATTTTGCTATTTCCCCCCCGCACTGTACAATACACAGTAGGTGTTTAAATAAAATAGCCATTTAGCCATTGTATTTATTTTCTAAATTATTGTAGGATTGACTGGGATTATTATGTCAATTTTGGTCATCTCACAGTAACATATATATTGCAGTTGATATCTTGGGGCTAGTCCCCTATTACATTAAATATGGCTCAATCTAATTTGTATGGCATGAATGCCATTTATTTCCAGCATCACTCCCCCTGCCCCCAACCCCCCACTTTTAATTGGGTTTGCCACATAACTTTTAGTCTGATTTTATGATGCAAACTGACATGTAGCCTTTAAATGTATTTATTAGTGGAACGCACTGCTTCCCTCTGAAAAACAAAATGTTTTCTATAAATAGTCAGATTAGTTTGTGTATGTTGTAATCCATGTTGTATGTTTTCTAAGTACAGCAGAATTTTGGATTTGACAGTTACGTTTTTGCAGATGTCACTTTTCTGATATTGGGCATTTCTGTTTATTTTCACCTAGTTAAAGTGGGGCTGTCAATGGAGACATAATATTTGCAAATATCTTAAAAATTCAAGGGGATGGTAAGTTAAACAACCCAGCTTTTGGTAAATGAAAAATAAAAACACAACCTGGAATTTTCTGTTAAGGCATACTCATTCCACCTTCTTATTTCTTCAAAACTAATGTGAATTGATGCCAAAATAATATAATTAGAACTATGGTAGTACAATTATATAATTCTAAACTCTTGAGGCAGCTAGCTGATAAATAAAGGTAAATTTAAACACTATGAGAAGATTAAGAGTCTAAAAGATATTATTGATGTTTTGAGATTCTGTATTGCACCCAATGGATTTCAATAGTATTAAATATATTTAGACCAAAAAAGTCAAGTTGAGTTGATTTTACATCTGCTTACAAGTCTAGGATTTATTTAGTTAGGTCCCACTTTCATGATTTAGAGACCTAAATAAAGAAGTCTCACCTTTCCACTCAGGAGCTTGCTTGAAGAGCTAGTGATCAAATGCCTTCAACTATCATGCTTGCAATAATTATTGCTCAGTTGTTTTCTTTTCTTGGTTTTATAGTGGATAAGTGAGTAAGAGTCCACAAAAAGAGATACACGAACACAGACTTCCCTGTGTATTCAATTACTCTTAACTTTTGGGATAACCTTTGTTCACTAGCAATGTGTCAATATCTATCTCCTAAGCATAGATGGTCTTATAAAACTATATAGGTTACAACATCCTTGAAAAGACATGATCAGGGAAGGTTCCTATCAATGTGTTTTATTCAGTAACCCCAGAATATTTCTGAGATCAATATGCAAAATTCTATAATCTTCTTCCTTCTTGATATACTTAGCTTGAAATGCCTAGAATTCAAAATAACCTGGCCAAATAATGCATGCCAAAACATGGATACAAGGCCTGGAATTCAACAATATAATATTGTATTATATTGTTGGTTAAATAGTGATTAGGGCACAAGGCTAGAAACCAGGAAACTGTGAGTTCTAGTCCCACCTTATCCAAGAAAACTGGCTCGGTGACTCATTCTTTTTCAATAGATTTGTTGTAGTGAGGAAATAGAAGAGGGAGGAATATTGTGTGGGTTTGCCACCTTGAGTTATTGATAAAAATACAAAGGGTAAAGATTTCCTGCGCAATAGTTTCTGACTCTAGGGGCAGCACTCATCTCCATTTCTTAGCCGAGGCAGCTAGTATTGTCCGAAGATACTTCCATATTCATGTGGCCAGCATGACTTTAAGCCAAAGCATACGGAATGCTTATACTTTCTCACCAAAGTGGTACTCATTTATCTTTGCATGCTTTCAAACCACTAGGTGAGCAACAGCTGGGTGAGTAATGGCAGCTCACCCCTCTTAGGTGTTGAATCTGGTTTGTCAGCTTTTCAGCTGACATGTTCAGCATCTTTAACCACTGGGCCACTACGCCCCTAAAGGCAGGAAATAAATAAATAAATGATTGCTCTCTGATACGCATCATTTGTTTGGATTTTATTTGATCTTTCCTCTACAAGATGAAGGCAAACAAATTATTTTCCCACCTCCACGCCTCTTCCCCAATAGCCCTGTGAAACTGCTTAAACATAAATGAAGGATTTGCCTATAGTCATCCAGTCAGCATTCATGCCAACTGTTGAACTAAAAACTGTATGCTCCAACAATGGAACCCTCCCATCCTACTTTCCATCATTATGTTCACACACTTTTTAGTTCTTCTTACAACTCTTCTGTTTTCATGGGCTTCCATGAAGGAGCAAATGCAGTGATAAGTACCATGGCCTAAATTTGCCCCAATAATATAAATTATTGATATTGTTATTATAATGTATAACTTTTAAAAATCACAAATAATTAAACATTTGAGTGGTTCTTAGCACTTGCAGTTGTTTTCTTGCAGATGTCTCATTACCTAAACAAAGAAGTAACATCATCAGGGCTACAAAGGATTTGCTCTTAATTTATATTCTAGTGGCTTGTCTTGTCAGTATTGGTAGGAGAAGTGTTGGAGGTTCTTTGGTTGGGTTGCTTACTATTAGCTTATTTAGCAATTCCTTAATTGGGGTATTGTTTACTTCTTGATTATGGCTTAATGTTAATCTATGCACATTTTGGTTGCTGATGGGGAGATGTTTTGGTCTTTTTGCTCCCTTTTTGGTTTGTTGATTGTCTCTTTTACACAGTATGTAGATATTGTTTATATCTATGTGTCTATTGATGGCTAATTTGTCAGAATGCCAGCCTTATTTCCAGCCAATTAAATATTTTCTATTAAATAATCCAATTAAATATTTCTAGCCAATTACCTACCTCCATTGTAAAGCCAATCACTTTGAAGCACTGTTCAATCGATGAAAACTTGGATTTATAAGAAGTATTGTTCAGGACCTCTTGCACTGGTGTCAGAAGTTCATTTTGTAGATAACTAATTAAATGGTGGGGGGAAAAGTGAAAATTTTCATACGGAAAACCAATGCAAGACTTATCGAAGTTTTTTCAGCTTAAATTAACTTGAATTGTTTAAGAATTTAAGAAAATGGAGCAAGAAAATACAAAGGGTGGCATTTTTTTTACCTTGGGAGTTCATTTTCTGGCAATTTATAATGATCTAATCTTTTCTTTTCTGCCAATCCAGCATAGATGTAATAAAAAATATGAAAATTCTTCTCCCCACTGAAACAAAGCAAGCAAACAAATTACAGTGCTGTAGCTACTAAAATAAAACCTAATAATTCCTATTTTATCTGTTTATTACTCTTTTAAAATTCATTTTGCATTTTAAACATTTAAATTATTTCTAAACATTAAGATTTATTTTCATACTTTAGGAAGGGATTAAAGCGAAGTGCTTACACGCTAATAAAAATATAAGAACAGACCTGACCTTGAAGCATATTAAAGTTGAGAAAAATAATCTCTTGCCCAGTTTATAGACTTGTTAAATTTGTAACACTATTTACAATATTTTTCGGAGTATAAGACGCTCTAGACTATAAGATGCACCTTATTTTGGGGGGAGGAAAATAAGAAAAAGAATATTCTGCCTCTGCCTAACAGCATCCATGGTGTTCATCTGGCTAGTGTCCTGTCAGCATGTGAGAGAATTGAGGGCTGTTTGGAAACAAACAGTATTCCTGTGTGAGCAACAAGGAAGGAGACAGCAAGGAGCCAGGGCGTGGCTTGTTCTGTACTAAAGCTGCATGCTGTGCTGATAATCTGAAACTAAAACTGAAAGTGAAACTTCTCACCTCTGCTCAACTGCCACTTGGAAAATGTGCTTTTGATATTGTATATTTACTTAATGTGTTATATTTTATATAAAGAGAAGTTAATTAAACCAGCTGAATCGAGCCGAGGTGGCGCAGTGGTTAGGGTGCAGTACTGCAGGCCACTTCAGCTGACTGCTATCTGCAGTTCAGTGGTTCAAATCTCACCGGCTCAAGGTTGACTCAGCCTTCCATCCTTCCGAGGTGGGTGAAATGAGGACCCAGACTGTGGGGGCGATATGCTGACTCTGTAAACCGCTTAGAGAGGGCTGAAAGCCCTATGAAGCGGTATATAAGTCTAACTGCTATAACTGCTATTGAATCAATTACTTGTGTGTGCTTTCTGAATGTGATTGCTGCTGCAAACTCTCACATGTCCTCGAAGCAAATAGCGAACAGCCAGGTTAGCTTCAGCATGTTGTTGCAGTCTGATTCAGCATGAGCAGCTGATTGGTTGGTGGACCAGCCTCCCGGAATGCTCCAGTCAGCTGTTCCAGGCTTCAGGGATTGCCACAGACCATCGCCTCCTCTGTGCCTTGCATTTTTGGCTACATTTGGTGTATAAGATATACCCAAATTTTCACCCTCCTTTAGAGGGTGGGGGAAGGCATCTTATACTCTGAAAAATGTGGTATATGTTATTCTTGTTTGTTTTAGTGATCTCCTTCAGCATAATGTTTAACAAAAAACATGTGAATCAGGCAGTTTAGGGTGAATGGTTGCTCAAACGCCTGCTATTTAAGCTCATTCCATATTTACCAATTTACTCCTGATTCTAATTAGATAGAGTGTATACAAGTCATATGCATGTTTATTAGATTATATAAAATTCAGGACATGAATACATAGCTCATATATTATATTATTAATGCAAGTTATGTCAAAGGTTTTGTGAAAATGCTGTATCTAATTCCACCCCATGCCCATACCATTTGAATTCATCTCTATCACACAATGCTTTCATTTGAACCAAAACTTTATTCTAAACATCCCTGTTTTCCTTTTGGGTAAAATTCTCCTTTCCTTTCACTTACCCAGCTTGACATATGACTCTAGACTTTTCTAGAAGATATTCTGAAATCTGAGCGCTTACAACAGTTCCTTTAGAAGTGAATTTCATTTCTAGATATTTCCCAAATCTGCTGGAATTATCATTAATAATAGTGGCTGCATTTCCAAAGGCTTCCAAGAGATTGTTGACTTGGATAATTTTTCCTTGAAGAGTCTTGTTATTAGCCTGAGTAAACATTTTAAAAATTAGGAATCATTTAAAAACTCATTTTCTTAGGTTATGTACAAAATACATGCTTTACCAATAGAAGAAAATGTTCACAGTCAGGGTTGAATTATGAAGTCTTAGGTGCTCTCCACACTTGATTGTTTTCTTGCAGGTGTTTAACTAAACTAGGTAACATCTTTAGTGCTAGAAGGGAATGTGGTTTGTTTTTGTCTAATGTAAGGAACTTTTTTGGCAAATTTTATTTAATTACCATTGTACCGCAAATAACTGGTATGTAATTGTCAGTTTAATTGGGATAATTTAGATAATTGTTGGCTCACATTTTAATTCAACATTAACTTTGACAAATAGCCTGTATAAGAGTTCCTAATTTCCCAGCCTACTAAAGAATAAGTAGAGATCATTTGGCATAGAAACTATTTGGGAGATAAATTGAACCCCACTTCATAAAGTTTTTAAAATCTGTCTTACCTTTCCAAGGATTGTCAATTGTTGAACCAGCAGATGAGAACTTTGAGTCTTTCCAGCTCCACTTTCTCCAGAAATGACAATACACTGAAATTAAAAATCAGGCATATTTTATGGTTCACCGACAAAACCGCGAAGCCCTTATCTGCGACGACATAAGCGCGGAGGCCAAATCCGCGCCTTCCGAAGCGCTCAGCACCCTAAACCTAACCCCAAACCTAACCCCAAACCTAACCTAACCCTAACCTAACCCTAAACCTAACCCTAAACCAAACCCCTAAACCTAATCCTTAATTTAAATCGGCTTTCTGAAGGCGCACTGTTTTAAAGCGCCCTTCTGTCGCCGTGCTGTTGTCATCGCGGTGATGACGTCGCGGTGATTATGTCACGGTTTTAGCAACGCGGTTTTGTCGCCGCTATTTTGACGAGCGCGGTTTTGTCGGGCCACGATATTTTATAATTAATGTTCTACACCAGGGGTGCCAAACTCAATTTCATTGAGGGCTGCATCAGGGCTGTGGTTGACCTTGGAGAACTGGCTTGGCATGGCCAACTGGATGGGTGTGGCCAACTGGGTGGGTATGGCCAGCTTAACACCACTCCCCAAACAGCTGACATGCTTTCTCTTCACATTGGGTAGATCGGGCCAAAGCCACGCTGGCCCAATCTTTCCTCTTTGCATTGAGTAGACAAAGACGGCTCCATGGGCTGGATCCAACCATATTGCATGCTGGATCCAGCCCGGGGGCCTTGAGTTTGACAAGCCTGTTCTATGCAATCAAAGTGGGCATTTATTTTGGCCTTGGAATTAGGGATCTGTAGTGATTTGGCTCAAAAGCAAGCAAACAAGCAAACGAATAAATGTTTGCCTTGGAGGGGGACTGGGCACAGGTTGCAAGATGCCTTGGCATCTAAAAGAGCTCCCAGAACTCCTTCATATGAAGGTTGGCAAGGTTGAGAAACACTTTTTCCCATCTTTTTTTAATGCTTTGAATTTAATTGCTGCACATTTCTACTTAGAATTATTAGCATTACCCGATCTGACCCATAGGTGACCATTGATTGATATGCCGTATCAGCCATAGCAAAAATATGTGGTGGGTTGCGAGTCCGTTTAGCTCCCATGTACAATCTGGAATGCTGAGGGAAAGAAAAGATAAATATCATGCATTTGATTGGTTAAAAACCCTGATAAATCAAAATACTATTATAATGAGAAATATTTGCTACAACATGTCACATTTTTAAGAGCCTGGCAAACCTGACTCCTGGGATAAAGCATTTCTCAATTTAATTTCTCAATTTAATTTCTCAATTTGTTTTGTTTCCAATTTTGAGTGGCAATGAATACCAATACGAGTACATTAACTAATCTGAAACACTGATTTGTTTTATTATAACACTCACCTTTTCTGTTTTATTTTCTCTATGTCCTCTTCAACTATTACTATAGTGAAGAATAGGAAATTACACATATATAGCTTGGCACCTTCAATCTTTTAATTCCGTTATTGCTTCTAACAAACTAAGCAAACACCCTAAGGAAATTTCTCTGAAATGGAAACAAGCCATGACCCCTGCAATGTATAGTAAGCAAAAATAATTTATGTTTAAGATGCTTCAGTGCTCAGTGCCCAAATTCTGACCTTTCCAAATTCCCTTCATACTAACTAATCTAATTTTCCCACCTTTGTAGAGTAAAGATCTAAGTTCCGAAAAGGGTTGACTGCAATGAGGATATCTCCCACATAAGTGTAGATCTGACCTCGGGCATAGCTCTTCTCGAGTTGCTCTGTTATTGTATTCTGTTTGAAATTGAGAGAAAGAGGAAGTTATGTTTTTTTTTCCCAAAGGAGTAGCTATACCGAAGAGAGATTAACAAGAAGGAGTAGCTATACCGAAGAGAGATTAACAAAAAGATGTATTAGATTTCTTGAGCTATGATACCAACATTCTTAATTTTGAATTCTACCTGCGTGAAAACCTTTTGGATCCATAAGTCTTCATCAGCAGCAGCCCATCAGCAGAACAAAACGTCAAGCACTGACTCGGGGAGATTTTGAATTGCCAAGCTTCTAAACTACCAAGAGATTAACTCCGCACTTATCCAGATTCTCTGCTATGGCAGGCTATCCAAAATCTTGGTTCTTTCCTAACTTATTATTTGTGAAACATTTAATTTGAGATATCAAGGATTGAATCTTATGAGACATGGAGCATACAAATCTATGGATGATTCAAGTCAGACTACTATTCTTTAAGGACTCATATCTTATCCTGCAATATGAAGTGAGAGGTTGATAGCAATAGCAATAGCACTTAGACTAATATGCCACTTCACAGTGCTTTACAGCCTTCTCTAAGCAGTTTACAAAGTCAGCACATTGCCCCCAACAATCTGGGTCCTCATTTTACCGACCTTGGAGGGATGGAAGGCTGAGTCAACCTTGAGCCTGGTGAGATTCGATCTGCCAAACTGCTGGCAGCCGGTGATCAGCAGAAGTAGTTTGCAATACTGCACTGTAACCACTGCACCACCACAGCTCTCATCTTAGTGTAACTTCAAAACTATGGGATTTTTATGGTTCCAAGTCTTGTGAAAAGTTGCTTTTTTCTCCTCTATTCTTTCTGGTGGGCAATCTTTAATCTCAGGACCATAATGACATCATAGATGCAGGAAATGTTCATCATATTTTTGTGTAGCCAATTAAAAGCTTCTTCCATGTTACCCCTGAGAATGTTGGACTGCTACAATTCTTTTTATCCTTTCATGAACTGGATTCTGGCTTTAGAATGTGATTTATATAGTCGATTCAAAGCAATATTATCCAGCTTGAGACAGAGGGAGAAAACAAAACTAGGGGCTATGGACTGTGTTCCTAATATCTAGCTATATTAATTTTATTTCTGTCAGTTTCTCATTTTTATCAATCTGTCAAATTCTGCCTCTTGAACTTTCTATTGTTGTTTTTTAAATTCATAGTAATATATGAATGTTGATATAAATGATTCCAAACATAGTTTTGGTAGCAATGCTGTCTAATGTAACCACTACAGTGATTTCATGAATGCATGAATTTAAAACAATGTACCATTGTACATTAAAAAAAACCTACTTATTATTGTATATTTGTTAATAGAGAAATGAAGTTTGATACACTGTGGAAGTTACTTGTTTTGGTTTGTATATTAGTTCTAAGATTCAATGACTCTCCCTCAATGCTGTCTAGACTTAATCTAAGCACAGCAAAAGGCAGATAGGCTTGAAAGAAAGACATACTGTACAAAACAGTTAAAGGTGATTACTTGTTTAAAGTATGTCTATTATTGCAATTTAGAACATTCCTAACAAAAGAATATCTTACCTCATCTAATATTTCTAATGTTGCCAAATCATCCACCTCGTCCTGATTAGCAGTTAGAGACTTAGTCAAATTCTGTATTTTAGAACGAAGTTGTTCAACACTGTAGGAAAACAAATATTGATAGATGTATTTGAGAGCTTGAACAAAAGATTTTGAATATTATTTTGACTGAGCTGCTTAGGAGTGCAAAAGTATAAAGGAATACTCTGATCAACATAGATTGAGATCTTCACATTCTTTATGAAGATATTACTTTCATATGGACATAGAATTATGTTTAGCTTTTTTTTAACATTTCAGGAGCTAGTGGCCCCATTTCAAGGAGCTGAATTAAAAGTTCAACTCCACTTACTTTGGTTAATCAAATTTTCTGTAGTCATAGTAGTTATATTGATGTAATACAATTCATCTAGTATATTCTAAGCATTTGTTCTCCATTTTATGACTTATTCTCATACATGACACTTAGTGCTGGGAGTTAAGACCATCAGGAATTTCAAGGCCTGTAAGCTAGTCTGGTAAGCTAAATAATACTAGAAATCTTGTAAGAGGGCTAAGACAACTCAGCTCCAAATTGTTTATACATTGATTTGCATCCTGCCTTTCCTTGAGGAGCGCAAGGCAGCACAGATACTGTTCCTCCTGTTTTCCCCTACAAAAGCATTTTTTATAAACTAGGTTGGGTCAAGAGACAGTGAGTGGTACTAAGTTGCCCAGAGAAAGTCTGTGACCCTTGGTCTCCCCATTCCCAGTCAGACATCAGAACCACTAATTTTGGTTAGGGTTTTGAGATTAAGCAAGATTGCTTAGATCAGAGGTGTCAAACTCAATTTCATTGAGGGCTGCATCAGGGCTGTGATTGACATCAGAGAGCCAGGAGGGCATGGCAGACTGGGTGGGCATGGCCAGCTGGGTGGGTGTGGCCAGCTGGATGCCACTCCCCAAACTGCTGGCATGTTTCCTCTTCGCACTGGGTAGACTGGGCCAAAGCCACGCTAATATGATCTTTCCTCTTTGCATTGGATAGAACAGAATGGCCCTGCGAGCCAGATCCGGCCCGCGGGCCTTCAGTTTGACACCCCTGGCCTAGATGTTGTCAACGAGTTAGGCATTAAACATAATCCTTGAGTATTAAAATATCTTTTGGGAACCTCCGCCAATGTTAATGCAAGGTGGCATCTTCCTAACAGATCTGCAAATGCTCTGTGTCTTGTGCATGGCTTGAGGAAGAACAATGTTTGCATTAAGCTGCAGGCATTTCGACGAAGGCAAGCATTATTTGGCATTTAAAGAGAACTGAAATGTCGAAGCAACTGGCTTGCCCAAGCAGTATGCAGATTCTGCCGACAGGGTGACTTTGACCAAGTCAAGCATATGCGACACAAATGACAGCTGCAGGAGCTGTCAGCTAATCTGTTCCCTTTCTGTTATTTTCCTCCAACCAAGGGAAGGACATAGACCTTGAATCAGCCTGTCATTTCCCATGTCTGACATTAACCACTGCATATAGCACCTTATTTTCACCACAGTCGAAGATGCAGAAATGTGTTGCCAGGGTGATATCGCATTCAGCCTACAGGGTTGAGCAGCTGCCGAATTAAGGGAAAGTGAGAAATCCAAGGAACAAGAGGATTATTCTTATTTTTCCTGCTATGTATATTATCTGGATTTTTTTTAGAACATCAGAGTTTTCTCTTCAAATATATTTATTTAATTTATAAATAATACATTTACAAAAATGTATGTGCTGCCTGCTCATTGAATTTTAGGTAGCCTAAAGAAACCTAACCTAATTTTAGGCTACATTTAGGTATTTCAGCTGTTTTTATTGTTCTTGGGGGGCAGTCCAAAGGGAAGGAGATAACAAAAGTCAAAACAATGTCTACACATCTGCACGCCTGCCTTTTTTTAAAAACATATGTCCCGTGCATGAAGAATGTAAAAAAGTGGCATTAAGCTTTGAGTGCATACTCACTGCCTACCTTAGCTTTTGGGGACCCCCCCTCCCATCCAAGCTTTCTTGCTAGAGAAAGACTTGCTCTAGAGGAAGGAGGGTAGTGAATTTAGCAAGCCATGCAAGTAAATTTCTCAAAACCCCAAAACTTCTCATTAGACATTATCATCATATTCATAGACCTAATCAACCAAATCTTTGACAGTTTCTATTTCAATCTGCACAATTACTATTGTCAATTTTAGGAAAAGTCTTTGTTCCAGAATGACAGTCAACTACTTTGAGGCTGAACTGACAGCAGGAGCCAAACTATTTATTGTTCCAGCTCGTTTTTCTATTCATTGCCAGCCACCTCCTATCTTACTCAAAGCAGAAGGAGGTCACTTTCAGCCCAAGTGTCAAAATCCACAAAAGGGATTTTTGATGGCTCCTAAAATAGCATGGAAAAAGCCCAGTCCTTGGTAAATGTTTGTCCTGGGTACAGAAATTAGAATTATTTATCTGATAGGGAAAAAAAATTGTAGGTCAACTGAACAATCACTATTTATATTCTAAAAAAAATGATATGCAAGAGTAGAAAAGCAAACCTTAGAGGTTATGATGGAGATGTTATAAAATTGAGTCATCACACAGAGAAATCAAGAGGGATTTAGAGATGTTAAGTAGGTCAATCACCCCCAATTTGACACTTGATTGCAACTTCAATGATTTCCAACTAACATGAAGCGTGTTATAGTCCTAACAGACTCTACAGCAGGCCACGTTGAGGACAACTGAGGCAAAGAAAAATTATGGATCCAATTTTTGGAGGCAGGAATTCATTCTGTTGTTCTCATTTTGGGGCAAAATGTTCCATATTTTCCCCATCGCTTGTTATGACATTCTAAATTACTCAAAGTAAGGACACCTATTTCAGTCCTGAAGATAAGTATTTAGAAATGCTCTCCTGACTGTTCTAAATAAGCAAACCTGAATCTGCTCCCAATTTCCTGACCTTCGGAAAAGGTCTGAAAACTTGGCTCTGCCATTTGGCTTGGGGTCCCAGTAGGGGAGTGCTATGCTGGAGGTGGTTGATGGACTAATAACAGTTCCCACCTCACCCCCTGTACAACTTGTTTCTACCCTCCTTATATCTCTGCATTTTACCAAGAATGGAGAACCAGCTGGTAGCCTAGGGGAATACACTTAATTATTTTTGAAGGGCAACCTTTCATCACAACACAAATAAGTGGAACTAGGGAGTTTCCTTTTTTCCCCATTTGAGGGGTGGATTTTTGTGTTCATTTTTATAAAACTGATAAAATATTTAATGATTAGGACTTATATAACAATTTGAAGTAATATAAAACTGCTACAAATCTGTGGAAAAGATATTGAACAACAGAATAACAGAGTTGGAAGGGACCTTGGAGTTCTTTTAGTCTAATCCCCTATACCATTTCAGACAAATCATTGTCCAATCTCTTTTTAAAGAGGACTTGGTCACACATTTCCAATTTTATTGAATACAAATCTTCAAAACAATAAAAAATTGTTTCACAAAACGTTTGAGATCTGTTAGTATTAAAACAACAATTTCAGGTATTAAGCATTATTAGGTTGCCAGTGTTCTGAATAGCAACGGGTTTGTAGTCTACATATCTTGTTGATTTGTTTTATTGAAGTCCTAGTCTAATCAGGATGCTTAAATAACTTCCAGTGCTTTTGTAATTTCTAAAGGTCACTTTGTTAATCATGGCCCAATGTTGTAGGTCTGATTGATCTGTGGGTGTGACAAATCTTTGTAATAAAAACTAACTGGATCAGCTATGCAAACCACAAACATTACTGCAATTCTTCCTGACTGGCAAACACAAATGGACAGATAAGGCAATAGAAGACAAACTAATCTGTCAGGCAGCGCTTGATGAAATAACCTCTTTCCTTGAGTGTCACTTTTAGTCACTTAATTGCTATGCACTGGAGCATGTTAGGATAGCCCAAGCTGTTTTTTTTTAAATGGGCATATTGGGGGGAAAAGAAGGAGAAATAATGTTCTGAAAAGATAGGAGCCCTTTGTAGGACTACACTAAGGGTATTCAAAAACTGAGCTTGCTGTGATATTATCTGATGAAAATAACTGAAGAATTTCCTAGAGATGTTAATGGCTCAAAAGCTAGTGGAATAGCAAAATGCAGCTTGTCCTGATGGAATACAACAACCACTACAAACACATATCAGTGTAATCAAATATTGGTGTCCATGCTACAGTTGTATATTATAGTAACAAACCAGACATTGGACAACAGGAAATCTACCTCCACAGGATTGTGATGAGAAAAATGCAAATCCTAAGTATTTGTAGCTTTCAAACAGCCTTCAAGAAATTCGGCATCTAATGGAATCATACCCATCTGAGCAGGAATTGTTACCCTAACTGTATAATTTGTAACAAAAGTGGAAAATTAATCCATTTTTAAATGTATTTCACCTAAAGTGGAACTTACAGTGTTTTTTGATGTTTTACTTAAGGGACATATTCATTATTGTGCCTAAGAAAGCTTGTGTACTCCTCAGTTAATTAATTTTCTTTCTATTTCTTAAACAATTACAAGCCAAGGAAATAGAATATCAAATTTAACCAGCAATAAATTATTGTACGGTATGCTGGAAAAATACGAACTTGGGCGAAGACTATTGTCAAAAGTCTTTTTAACACATCAGTTATAATATTGAGCATTTTATTTTGAACCGTGGTTGTTTGAGGAAACATTTAACTCTATTGTTTGTATCAATTCATAGATTGACTTCTTGGCTATAAGCTTTAAGCCTGTCTATTGATATCATTCATTAGATTTCCCCTTTGTTATGGACTGACATAGGATACCTTTAATTCTGACAACATTGAGCTTTAAGAAGAGAAAGGGGCAATGCTGAAAAGGAGAACTGTTTACATTTCTGTACATCACTTCCTTATCAGATTAATGATAAGCAGACCAAAAAGGGCAAAATTAATTCCTAAATCTCAGTGAGAGCTTGAAAACAAAAACAACATTAAACTGTCATAAAAACCAATATTAATAATAAATGGGGCTGGTTTTAGAAGGATTTCTCTATTCAAGTCATTTGACATGGAGACAAAGGTGACATCAAGAATTGATGGTGTTAAAGAATTGTCTTTTAAATTCTATCTTCTTTTTTAAAAAGGATAATCTGTTATTTCTTACCTTGAAACAGATGAGACACATCAATACTCATCAACAACTAAATTTCAAATTCAGCACATTATTTTGATGAAGTTGTTTCAGGAGACTTGACATTGAAGCAAAATACTTCTTGCAATTTCATCTTCATGAGGCACAGGATATCTTGCTAAATGTCTTTTAAAATCATGCAAGCCATAGTAATTTTGGCAATAATATTTCCTTCATTTGCTAAATGGGAACTTGACTATATTATGGACTACTCATGCTAGGAGTTTTTCTGACTTTATAACTATGACAAAAAAGCAATCCCAACATCTGACTATTAAACTAAAGAACAGATGCATAGATTTTTCAAGCAAAAGGAATATTGTAAAGGGACTCTTCACTCATTGAGGAGTTCCAGGAATGTAGTCTAGAGCAGGGGTAGCCAACCTTGGCAACTTTATGACTTGTGGACTTCAGTTGAAGTCCACAAGTTGTAAAGTTGCCAAGGTTGGAAACCCCTGGTCTAGAGAGACAGTTTGGTCTAGTGGTTAAGATGCCATAAAATCGAGCTGGGTGACTTTGGGCAAGTCACTTTTCAGCTCAACTCATCTCTCAGAATTGTTGTTGTAGAAAAATAGGAGGAGGAAGGTACGACTCACCACACACATAAGCTTATCGAAGCCTGGCAATTCCATCAATAGACACATCAACCTACAACAAACTTTCAGAATTCAAATCAACTGCACAGCCAACCAGTGACTAAACCAACTCTCAACCAATCCAACCAACCCCCCCCACTACCAGCGCTTCACCTCCCAATGACCTTCATCTGATGTGACCTCCCCATCTCAGGACCTACTGACGACACAAAGTCTTTATAAGCAGAAGAATGCTGACATTGAAATCCCCTAAATTCAGCTGAAGAGCCTGGTAAAGAAATGTCTGGAAAACAACCCACAAACTTGGCTGACTAACTTCCACTCTCATCTTTTGCTAGATATTTGCCACTATGGGAGGAAGGTGTGTTGAATGTGTTCGCTGCCTGGAATTATTCAGGAAAATAATGAAGGCAGGAAATAAATAAATAAATAAATAAATAAATAAATAAATAAATAAATAAATATATTGCAAAATTAATGGATGAATTCATAAGATTAAACAAAACCAATTCCTGACTTAGTATATTTTTCCATTGAAAAGATACCAATTTATATTACACATGTTGAAATATTATGTTTCTGTAAATTGTGAATGTAAATGTAAATTTTTTAATCCTCATATTCAGAAAAACCTGTGTCTACACCATGTCGATTTCCTGATCTTCTCAATGAAGTAGCAAAGAGCAGATTACAAAGAACAATTATTTCCTCCTTCTGTTTAAAAACTGAATATGATCACTTCTTTTGGGGGATCATAGAGATCAAGAATCAATTATTTCAGGTGGGGAAAAATACATAGACACCGTTTAGTCAGAGGAACAAGGAGAATTCTAGTTGACATCTAGAAGAAAATTGGCTGCATCTTTCGTTTTATAGCCTCTCCCCGCAATATGCTCTTTGATCTTAAGGGAATGAATTCTTCACAGTGCTTTACAGTCCTCTCTAAGTGGTTTCCAGACTCATCATATTGCCAACAATCTGGGTCCTCATTTTACCCACCTCGGAAGGATGGAAGGCTGAATCAACCTTGAGCCTGGTGGGAGTCGAAACTGCTGGCAGCCAGTGATCAGCAGAAGTAGCCTGCAGTACTGCACTCTAACCACTGTGCTACCAATTCACCAATAGGGCAGGTTTAGGCGAAAGCAATGGTAGGGTACATGATGATGAAAGGGAGCAGGACTGCATCACAAACATTTATTATTTATTTATTAAATAAATGTATATGGCTGTTGTCCAACTCAAACATGGCAGTAACTCTAGTGGGGCTTGAGGTTTCCAAGATTTCATGGGGCAGGAAGAGTTTAGAAAATATTTTTTTATAACATCTGTTTTAGGTTTTACACTGTAATTTTGTTTGTCCTCTCTTAAAATGATAGGAAAACATATGTTGGGATTTTCTATGCCTTCCAATGAAGGCAAATTTTGGATAACATCCCACCTCCATTATTCATTTCACATAAATGTTAGCTAGTTAGAGCTTACTTGTCAAAATTAAATTAAATGATCTTAAAATGTACTTTGCTACATGCAGGGAAAAATTACCTTGCTTTTTCAGGAACACCCATCTGCTGGTGATTATTAATAGACTCCATCAGTTGTATTTGCTGGATATATTCTTTGCCTTCCACCTGCTTCACAAAATTGTGCTTCAATTGGTCAGTCACTCCAGGGTGCTTTTCATAATCTTTGGTTAAACATCTGAATTTGGCTGAAAGAACAATTTCTAGGAAATATTTTGAAGTATGATGAAATGATATCAGGACAAGAAGGGGTGCTTTATTCCACCAAGGTATAGGACTAGCATGTGGAATTCCCCCCCCCCCCATTTAGGTTTATTTTCAATCTGTCATATTTTACATATACCAGATTATATTTTAAAAAGCAATGAAAGAATTTGGGAAATAACCACATTGTGCTGAAATCCCACTACTGGCTTTTCTGCTTGTTCTCAGAGTAACTTTTAAATTCAGGTAGTTAGTATCTTTTGAGGGCTCTGGTGTAACTTTGAATGGGTCACTAAGTGATCAATTGTTAAGTCAAGGACTACCTCTATTTGTCTAGATAGAATCATGACTGTATTAATTAGGCTATATCGCTGCCTACTTCCAATGTTGCATGTACTATTAAATGGCTAATAAGCATTATTTGCTCCTTCAAACGGACTGAGACCTTACAATGCCTGAGTGATGTTTCCATCAGCAGAAAGATTGACATGACATTCTTTAACTCTTCTGAAAATCTGCTCTGTAAGAACAGGGGACCCATTGGAATCACCTGGGTAACTACTCTGAAAAGGAAGGTTTAAATCTCTCCGAGTTATTTTCTATCTGTGCAGAAGGCTATTTAAGATTAAAGCCACATGATCAAGGGAGGTACAGACTACGGATACATAATCTAAACATCTTGAAAGAGCTAAGCAGGTCTGAAACAAGTCATTTCAAACTCTGAAAGACTAAGAATCCCATTTATATTCGCATGATAAAAGAAAGTTTGAATATAAATATATGAAATACAATAAATACAATTATTGACCTAAAATCACTGTGGTGCATCTCCTTAGGGTAAATCCTTCATTAACAAGGACAATAGGCAGGTGTTATAGCAAGCAAAAATATTACCAAAACATTTTCAATGCTGTGTTTATGTGCAATGTATATACTGCTTTTTAAAAATGATCTGACTATCATTCACTTGCTAATAAAATCATTGAATTCAGTTGGAGATGGATTCTTATAGAAGATGGTACCAAAACAAGTTAAAATGTTAACACAACAGGGCTGAAGTTAGTCCCTCATTAAAATGTGAATAGTCAAATTGAGTAATGAATTTGCAAGACTAATTACAAATTGATTTCCTCTTATTTATAAGAAGTCCTTTTAGAAAAGTAGAATTTAGATCTGATTGCCTTAATATTAACAACATACTATACCATAAATATGACTAATGACTTTTTTTTGTTATTTACACATCATTCAAGTTCCCTATAATCCTAAAAGCCATTAGTTTAACAGTTCTTTATATTATATCAGATTGAGAGAAAAAGATATTTATTTATAATCAAGTTGAAGACCATGTTCTAAAACAGTATTTTAAAAGTATTTCAACTCCCAGAATTTCCTGGCTAGAAATGTGATTGGGAAATTTTGAGGATTTTGGGAGCCAAAGTCCATATCTCTTAAAGTTGCTGAGGTGAAATATTATCCTAATCCATTGACTCATACAGAATTTTTCATAATGTAATAATCTGGATTTTTCCACTGCTAGATGAAATAACAAGAAATATATTATTAATACCCTGTTTCCCTGAAAATAAGACCTCCCTAGATAATAAGCCCAATTGGGCTTTTGAGCGCATGTGCTAAAGCATCCCCTGAAAATAAGCCCTCCATGAAAATTGCAACATAGTAGCAGCCACAAGGTGATCACACTTACTGCCTCCTGCACCTGAAAAATAATAAGACCTCCCTGAAAATAAGGCCAACCGGGGGGAAACAATGTATATGTTTGGGATTCACAAATAAAAGATTAGACAAGTCTCTACTTCAAAGGTTTTATATTCTTTATGATCCTTATTTAACAGAATTTCAGAATAACAGAGCTGGAAGGGACCTTGGAGGTCTTCTAACCCAACTCCCTGCTCAGGCAGGAAACACTGTATCGTTTCAGAAAATAATTTTCCAATCTCTTCTTGAAAACTTCCAGTGTTGGAGCATCCATACTTCTGGAGGCAAATCAATCCACTGATTAATTGTTCTAACTGTCAGAAAATTCCTTCTTAATTCTAGGTTGGCTCTCTCCTTGATTAGTTTATCCATTGTTTCTTGTCCTGCCTTCAGGTGCTTTGGAGAATAAGTTGACCCCTTCTTCTTTGTGGCAGCCCCTTAGATATTGGGAGACTACTATCATGTCACCCTAACCCTTTTCATAAATCTAGAAATATCCAATTTAACATTTACATCCTTACACCATCCTCCCCCAGCTGGTGGCATCCAGAAGGGTCAGACTCTCGTCTTCAATGCCTGGTTCTTACATTTGGCCTGGGATCCCTGATGGTTAATGGACTTTAAAGAACATCCTACCCCACCTTGGTTTTTAATGTATTTAGTCTCTGTTTATTTTAATATTTAATGTTTTAATGTCTTAACATTTTGTACCTTTTTCAAATAAATAAATGAAAATTATTTGAAAGCAGATAGATCCTGTCTTCATCTACCTGCAGTGAAGTTCAAGAAAAAACAGAACAGAAAAAAAACAAAGACCAATACAACTTCAGATGTTTGTATTAGAATATAATGGGGAAAGGTTTATTTCCTACAGACACATCTGAAAGTAGCATTCTATAAGTCCTACTTTTTGCTACAGTAACATAAAAAACAATTAGTTTTATTGCATGGTAATAGGAACATACCACTGAATTATAACATCCCTCTAACACCAGGAATATGTGTATAATTTAGACAAGGTGATTTTCAAATTATAAAATGTTAGTTGTGAAACACTGCATCCTAGAATTTGAAAATACCTACCCAAACCTTGAACTCTTCAGAGAAAAGATACTGTTATTACAAGGTGCCTTGTGCTGGTACTCATATTGTGGGAAAGCACAACCACAGATTGTGAAAACATAAATTTGGTTTTTCTCATCTTAAACTATCAAATTTTGTTGGATGGCCAATCATTCCAGCTGAAGATGGAGAATGTAGTCAACAAAAGGAAATCTATCCTTGACTTAGAGCAGTGTTTCTTAGAGCTTTTCATTTGTCTGCTTTCATGCAGGATTCTCGGAATTTTCAGTTAGTGAGGTAATGGGCTGTGGCATTCTTAAGAACTTCATTGGGTTGAGAATTTTTTCCCCTCTCTGACTCATTTCTTTCAATGCTATCTATTAGAGCTGTTAAAAAACACAAAGCATAGATCAGTTTTACTAAGTGCTTACCTTTGATTTCAGAAACAAATTCTCATGGGATACAAATCAGCCAAAGGTGGGTTTCCATTACATATACAGTTTTAATCCCCGGGGCCCATGTTTCAGATCAAACATCACAAGCACTATCTTGCTTTTGTTCGCGTGCAAGCACCTGCTGAGGTAAAATAGACGAATAAACAAATAAGAGCTGGATTAGAAGTCCCTTTGGGAAAGGTCTAACAGTGCTCAAGCCTTCATTCACTTTGCATTTTTAAGTGATTCAACTTCATATGCATTCCTCAAATTAATCTTAAAGTACCCAGTGCCTTGAGATATTTTGGACATCAGTCCCTAAATTCCCAACTAATTTGATGGCCATTTGGGTGGAAACCATGTGAGATAAATTTCAGGAAATCTTGAATTTATCAGATTGGGAAAGATGAAATTGCCCATTCCCAAATTTCATGATATAAACCTTAACAAAATAACTCTTAGTCAAAAATATATGAAGGCTACAATGTGCAATAAAATACATATTATAGGTTAAAACATTTCAAAAATAATCTTTAAAGTAGATGTTTTGTGACAAGATAGGTTTGTATGTAACATGCAAATATTTGCATGTTTACATGCACAAGACTGATCCAAAAATATAACAAATATATGAATAACAGATGATATAACAAAGTTGTAGTGATTCAGAAAGAAATCTGACAATCCATTCTACCTTCAATCACGCTGTTTGCTTCTAAAACATTTTTAAAGCTTTTAAAGACAGCTATGATTTAATGATTTTTATGCCACAATCTAAGAAATAGAAACATTCTGAAAGGTTAAGTATCCAAATTATTTGATTTTCCTCTAATTGCCTGAGAATAACATTTGACAATTTGCTGAAAATGGCTGCCGTGAAACCACAGAATCACATATCATAGCTCTATATTGCAGTGATATCAGATGGCAGAGTGAAGACTTCTTTAGTTTCCATTTATTGCAACATAGCATCTAAAGACCACTTAAATCCCTTTCTTCAAAACCAGATGCATACATTTCAAGATTCAATGTAGGCTTTGATACCAAGTCTTGTTATAATTCACACACCAGCTAAAGGCAATAACTGAAGAAGCTCCAGTAAGGCACTTCACATATGAATAAGTACTTAAAGAGACTCTTCATCACAGTGATAAAAAGGACTCAACCAGTTATATAGCTGAAAATGAGACAAATCAGTAAGTGACTTGATGAACTGTTAAATTGCCAATTCCTCATCTTAAACTGTAGCATTACATCCTGAGACCCACAGAAGGGCTCCTTGCCACATATTGTAGATTTGGGCAGGAGATGATACACAAAACATTTCTAGAGCATCAATTTTTTGTACATGTTTTGTAGCCTTACATCCCATAATGACAGCTATTATTAATTGAATCCCACAAACTATGTAATATACTAAAATAGAACATTTTAAACCAAACCAACGGCAGGTTTCAGGGATCGGTAAGGGATGATCCTCCAGATGTTGCTGAAGTCCTCTTCCAAGTATTTTTAAGTGAGCATGGTCAATGTCAAGGAATGGCATGCATAATATTCCAATAAAATATTGAGGCATACATGTGGCCACATAATTCTAATTTAATATATAGTTGGCTATATAAAGTTTAAGACAGTAGAATTTATCTGGTATGGAAAAGGTAGGTATCCAATGCTATACAGAGTCTGAGCCACTGGTTAGGATGTCTCCAGTTGGAACTTGTGAAGGTTACAAATGAGAACACATTACCCTATTTCACAATAATGCATATATCAGGAGAAGCATGCAAGATTTTTCTAAAAAATAAGACACTTAGCTTGAAATAGGATGAAAGAGACTAATATTGGAAGTACATACTCACTGGAAGAGGTATTCAGAAGCTGGATATTAGATTGGAAATCTGCCATGGGTTTGGCTATGTAGCCAAGAAAGCTGTGCAGAGACAATACAACTGCACAGCTTTCTTGGCTACATAGAAAGTTATTATTTTTGGTATCAAAGTTCTATTACTGGGAGATATGAAAAGGGGATAGACTGGGGGAGTGGCATGGATTTTAAAAACACTAGTTCCACAGGATCCAAAGATCTAACCATCTACTAAGAGAAACAAGTTGATATCCTATGTTTTTATATACAGTACATTTCTGTGCGATGTTGAGTTTACACATTTGTTTGGAGAGTTTTACCAAAACATTTCACCCAGTATTTAGATTTTCCTTCAGCTATTATGTATAAGTAGTCCTTAACTTAGAACCATTCATTTAGTAACCATTCAAAATTACAAATGGTGCTTTAAAAGTGACCTTTGACTGTTTTCCACACTTACGACCGTTGGTTGCACCATTCCCACGATCACATGATCAAAATTTGGTTGCTTAGCAGCTAGCATGTGTTTATGATGGTTACAGTGTCCTGGGGTCATGTGATCATATTCGTGTCAATGAAGAACCCAGATTCACTTAACAAACTTTATTAATTTAACAACTGCAGTGATTATCTTAACAACTGTGACAAGATCATAAAATGGGGCAAAACTCACTTAACAACTATCTTGCTGAACAACAGAAATGTTAGGCTCAATTGTGATCGTATATCAAGAATTACCTGTATAAAAGTTGTCCTGAGTAAAGAAATCAGAACAGGTAAATAAATAAACAAGTTTAGAAATTGAACAATGGTAGTATTATATATGTTTAAACAATATGAAATAATGAAAAATTATAATTTGATATAAAGATGTATTACTATTAGAACTATAAGCTGGATGAATGTGATAACTGGTTAATAATATT